CTGCCCGCGCCGTGAATGCGGGGCGAGTTGGTTTCAACTCACGTGGTGAAAACGCTCACAAAGTTCGGTCAATAATCACTCACAAAAATCCACGAGAGAAACTTGGATTGCTCACTGGAATAGCTCTGCCGATGTTTAATAAATCATGTAAAGAATAGCGTTGATTCTAGCTTGTAACTTCCAAGCGAAATTATAGGAAAAGCACTGTAAATATTGCGTGTGTGACAGAAAATAGCATAGACGAACGATAACGAAACGAAACTGAATGCGTGAAGGTTGACCTCTGAACTAAACATATATACAAGATGCGTTAAAGGCGCAGTGCAGGGTAACTTAAAGTGAACGCTACAGTAGCCCCCCTCTAGATCGCAAAATGGTATTGAAGCGAGCGATAAGTGTTCAGGTTAAATCAACCACAGTCAAAGTCTGTGTACTTGGATGGCCAATGAACATGCCGGCCAGAACGCGAGTGCCGTTGAGCTGCTGGTGTTGCTGTGTGTTGGTCATCAACCGTGTGCGTAGGGATGGCAGGAGATGGCTGTACACGCTTAAGCTCTAGGGTAGATGGCTGGGAAGGGGTGGTATCTGTATCGAGGTAAGCAACTTTCAACCGATCTAAGCTGACTGTGTCCTGCCTTCCATCCAGGTCGAGTGTGAAGTACTTGTCTGTCCGGCTGAGTACTCGGTATGGACCTTTGTAGGGTGTTTGGAGGGGTTTCTGCACATGATCGCAACGGACAAATACATGCTTGCACAACATCAAATCCTTGTGAATTTGTGCAGTTCTGTCTCGCGACCGAGGCGGTGTGGGTCTGATGTGCTGCATCGTGTGTCGCAGTCTGTGAACATAGTCTGCAGGGTCGGCGAGATTACCAGTATCGTTGGGGGGTGCAACAAACTGTCCTGGAAGTCTCAGGGTGGTGCCAAACACCAATTCGGCGGTGGAGCAACCAAGATCCTGCTTTACCACCGTGCGGATCCCGAGGAGGATGAGTGGTAATGCTTCGGTCCAACGTTGAGGGTTAGTACTCGATTTGAGAGAGGCTTTGAGCTGTCTATGCAGGCGTTCGACCATACCGTTTGCTATGGGGTGGTACGATGTTGTTCGCGTGCGTCTGGTACCTAGGAGAACCATCAAAGCGTGGAACAGGGCCGACTCAAACTGTCGTCCGCGGTCTGTGGTTATCGTAGACGGAGCACCAAAGGTGGAGACCCATCTGTTCACAAAGGCCTTGGCGACTGTTTCAGCGGTGCAGTCGGGTATAGGTATTGCTTCTGGCCAGCGTGTAAACCTGTCAACGCATGTGAGTAGATAGCAATATCCCTGGGAAGGGGGGAGTGGTCCCACGATGTCTATGTGCACATGATCGAAACGTGCATCTGGAGATGCGAAGGTTCCAAACAGAGTCTTGGTGTGGCTGTGGACCTTGGACTTCTGGCACTTGACGCAGGCCTTGGCCCATGCTCTGATGTCTGAGTTCATGCGTGGCCAGACGTAGCGTGAACCAACCAGTTTCAGTGTTGCTCGAATGCCAGGGTGAGACAGATTGTGCAAGGAATCGAACACACTCCGTCTGTGGTTTTGGGGTACGAAAGGGCGTTCATGACTTGTCGACACGTCGCACCAGATGGATGTATTTGAGTTCGGTATCGGAACTTGCTTGAGGTCCAGGGATGTGGGTGATTCCAGGATTCTGTGTAGTTCCTGGTCGTGTGTCTGATCCATGGCCATCTGCTCGAAGTCAATCTGGGTTGATGTTGTCAAGGCACTGATGTGAGATCGGGAAAGCGCATCCGCTACAACGTTCTCTGTGCCCTTGATGTGACGAATGTCGGATGTAAACTGAGATACATAGTCCAGGTGACGAACTTCTCTAGGTGAATGCCGGTCAGGTTTGGAGTTGAGAGCATACACCAACGGTTTGTGGTCAGTGTAAATGCAGAATTCTCGTCCTTCGATGAAGTGTCGAAAGTGTCTGACTGACAAGTACATGGCCAGAAGTTCGCGCCCGAAGGTGCTATAGCGACTCTCTGCAGGTTTAAGACGCTGAGAGAAGAAGGCCAGGGGGTGCCATACTCCTTCGGAAAGTTGCTGAAGCACACCGCCAACTGCCGTGTCCGAGGCTTCCACCATCATGGCAGTTGGTAGTACCGAAGAAGGGTGAGCGAGAAGTGTGGTGTCAGCGAGTGATTGCTTGATCTGCAGGAACGCTGTCTGGCATTCGGGTGTCCAATTCAGTTTGGTTGATTTGCGTGACTGGTTGGGTCTTTTTCGCAGCTGGTCTGTCAGCGAGGCGATCACGCTTGCGCAGTTTGGCACGAAACGACGGTAAAAGTTTACCAGTCCCAAAAATCTGCGCAGTTGACGGGTGGAGGTAGGCTGAGGGAACTCTGCAATCGCGTTGACTCTGTCTCTCATGGGACGGATACCATCAGCGTCGATTCTGTGTCCCAGGAAATCGAGGGTGGGAACCCCGAACTGGCATTTGGATGGGTTGATGATAATGCCATATTCGGAAAGTCTGCTGAAGAGAAGACGCAAGTACTCAAGATGGTCCTCCTCTGTCTCACTCGCGACCAGGATGTCATCGATGTAGGCGTACACGAAAGGTAAGTCTCGCGTAACCATGTCGATGAATCGTTGGAAAGTCTGAGCGGCATTCCGCAGGCCGAAAGGCATGCGAAGGAAGTGGAACAGACCGAAAGGTGTTGTGATGGCGGTCTTGTGGATGTCGTCAGTATGGACCGGAATTTGGTGGTAAGCGCGTACTAAGTCGATCTTTGAGAACACGCGTTTACCCTCCAGATTGGCTGTAAAGTCATGCAGATGGGGAATCGGATAGCGGTCGGGTACTGTAACACGGTTGAGGGCACGGTAGTCTCCGCACGGCCTCCAGTCACCTGACTTCTTGGCCACCATATGTAAAGGCGACGACCATGCACCGTCCGAAGCTTCAATGATGCCGAGATCAAGCATATGATTGAACTCGTCTTTCGCCGTGATGAACTTGTCGGGAGCCAGGCGTCTTGGGCGAGCTGACACTGGGGGACCCTTAGTCACAATGTGATGCGTTATAGAGTGCTTAACGTCCTTGGCAGTGTAAGTCGGACGTGTCAGTTCTGGAAATTGTTCAAGGATCACATCATAGGGCGACTCACTCAGCTTGGCAACGGTTGGACTGATGGGAATGGCATCTGAACCGATTCCACCTACGGTGAGGCTTGTAGTGGAGTCGATGAGTTTGCGACGCTGAACGTCGACTAGCAGTCCGAAGTGTTGGAGAAAATCTGCTCCAATTATTGGGTTCGGCAGGTCCGCGATAATGAACACCCAACGGAAGACTCGACGCAACCCGACATCCAAAGTGAGTGACTTCTCACCATATGTGTTGATGGGAGATTTGTTCACCGCCTGAAGATTGATAGATGAAGACTGGGCATGACGTTTATCTGCAGCCGATGGAGGCCAAACGCTCACTTCCGCTCCCGTATCTACCAGGAACCGGGCCCCTGTCTTGCGTTCAGTGATGAAGAATAGGCGACTATTGGTGTCGGTGCCAGGGAGACTCGTCGCCTTTAGTCGCTGGCATCGGAGTTTCCCTGTTGTTGACGGGGTTTGAAGCTGCATGGGGACACACACCTTCTGGCATCAGCGCCGAATCGCCAGTGATACCAGCAGTCAGTGCCAGAGTGTGATGGGCTGCGACTGCGAGATGGGCGTCGATTGGGTGGGGTTGTGTCACGCTTCCTCGATCTCCCACGGGGCTGACCGGAGAGTTGGCATGTGAGAGCGCTGACTTGTTGGGTTAGCTGGTCAACTTTGGCTTGTAGTGTGAGCATATCTGAACTTGGCATGGTTGTTGGAGGCGACGAACTGCCAGGCTGGCTGGATGAAACTGCCCCGACATGTACAGTAGGCGAGACAGAAACTTCAACAATCTTGTCTGCAAGTTCTGCGAGTTGCTCAATGGGTGTCGTTTGAGATGTTGATGCCAGGATTAGTTGGGCGTTGGTCGATAATCTCTGAAGAAACAGTTGTTTCAGGATGTTTTCTTCGAGTGTGTTGTCTCCTAACAACTGCCGCATACGACGTAGTAATTGTGAAGGCTTGCGGTCCCCCAGCTCCTCCGATATTAGCAACTGGTGCAGTCTTTTCTGCTCTGATACGGAGGTTCGACGGATGAGGGCGGTCTTCAGGCTGTCGTAGGCATTATGCTCAGGGGGTGAAATGAGGATGTCCCTCACTTCAGTTGCAAACTCTGGCTGCAAGGAACCAACCACGTATGCGAACTTGGTGTGTTGCTGAGTGATGTTACGGGTTAGAAATTGCGCTTCCACTTGCGCAAACCAAAGGGCAGGGTCACTGGGCCAAAATGGAGGCAACTTCAAAGTCACTGCAGCTGATGTTGTGGGTGCAGATGGAGATGAACTAGCAGTAGCACCTTTGGATGTGCCCGGTTTGGAATCAGCATGATCAGAGTCAGATTTGGTTTCCATGTTGTTCGGCTCAGGTCTGGGTCACCAATGTAGGAATTAGTTGTACTGTCCTACTTTAACTCCCGAGTTTATTGCAAGTTAAGTGACTCACCAAGTTGCAGTATGTAAACAGCCAAAACTGGGCCGAGTCCATGCACAACGCAACGCGAACGGGGCGACTGCCCGCGCCGTGAATGCGGGGCGAGTTGGTTTCAACTCACGTGGTGAAAACGCTCACAAAGTTCGGTCAATAATCACTCACAAAAATCCACGAGAGAAACTTGGATTGCTCACTGGAATAGCTCTGCCGATGTTTAATAAATCATGTAAAGAATAGCGTTGATTCTAGCTTGTAACTTCCAAGCGAAATTATAGGAAAAGCACTGTAAATATTGCGTGTGTGACAGAAAATAGCATAGACGAACGATAACGAAACGAAACTGAATGCGTGAAGGTTGACCTCTGAACTAAACATATATACAAGATGCGTTAAAGGCGCAGTGCAGGGTAACTTAAAGTGAACGCTACAGCGTAGTTACCAGGGTGTTCCTGTCCTTGTTACCAGGGAACTGTTCAAAAAAGAAGAATGGTGTGTTCAGGTTGTTGACATTCGAATGGATTCATTATGTCCAGTGGCATATCCAGAGGAGGGGGGGGGGGGGGGGCAGGGGCACCGTGCCCCCCCCCCCGAGGAATTTTTGAAAAAAAATTTGCTCAGTAAGTATTTCCATAAATGTTTAGAGAGTTCTGACATCAACCCCAAAAAAGGAAACCAGCTTAAAAAAAAAGGCATTACAATGCGCTGTGAAAATCGGCACATATTTTCCAGTATGCATAATAAAGGTTTTGAAGAGCGCCCTCATTTGGAAGATGGCCCTCCCCACCACTTTTTGATTTTACGGAGGCCAAGTGTCGGAAGAAAAAAAACCATGTCTACATTTCTCCGTGGATGTGCGGTTCCCCCCTCCCCCCTCCCCCCTCCCCCCCCACACACACCCACATCATGAGCTGGATACGCTACTGATTATGTCGTAACATAGTCAGCAAAACAACTTTTGACATTTTGATATCTTTAAACATTTCAATTAGTCATAAAGACCGACTGGTTCAAACCACCAAATTTGGCATATAGATTGTTATAGCCCTAGAGTAAAAAGTTAAGAAGGGAAGGGTGCCTAATTTACATAAATCGTTAATCCCTACCAAGGGCGGATCCAGATCACAATTTTGGGGGGGGTCCACAAAAATTTTGGTCCCCCAAAAAAGTGGGACAAAAAAATTACGACGTGGGGTTCGGGGCCCGCTTAAGGGCCTCGAAACATTTTTGGATTCTAGATGCTCTGTGGTGCGATCTGAGGCAATTTCTGACCACTTTAACCAATGTTTTTTTTGAGGAAAAGATGGTGGTGTACTCATTGCCTGCCTTTATTGCGATGTCACATAAAAAAATATTTAAAAAATGGTTTCGTTTGGGGGGGGGGCCATGGCCCCCTTTGTCCTCCCCCCCCCCCTCCCCCTCTGGATCCGCCCTTGATACCTACAGTGTAATATATTTTTCCCACTTTTAATTTTTTGAAAAGTATTTTTATTTAATTTTTTGAAAAGTGTATTTTGGGGATTTCACTTACACATCCTTATTCAATAACATTTGCTAAAGCATTTAAGACTGACTGGATAATAATATGAGGACATTGTAACGATCCTAAATGGCTACTTTTATACTCTAAAGTTGCACTCATTAACGCTTTAATATGCAAATTAGGCACTCTTCCCAAAAGAATTTCGGGTGAGCACCCCTTCTAAATATCTTCACTAGGGCTATAAGAATCTATCTGCTGAGTTTGGTGCTTGGGACCAGTCGGTCACGATTCCAACCGTATGCAACCTGACTATATACCTTCATTGGTGTGCCGTCTGCATCAGTCACGTAATGCCAGGACTGACCGTCCTCGCTGTACGTCACTCGGTACTCCGTCACCCTTTGGTTGTTATCTGCGCGCCCCTGGGTGATCAGACCAGTGATGGTGACTGTGCCAACGAAGTCAACCTGTATCCATGGACTGATATTACCAGTGCTGTCATCGTTACGCCACCCTGCAGCGTATCCTGTACAACAACAAAAAACCTAAGATTTCTTACTGCATTCAACGATTTAGCCATATTGCAGGAATCTGGCTCAAATTTGGACTTCGAGGTATGTTTAACAATGATCTTCGCCAATAATCTTTGTCTGACCCAACGCTAGACGACTAAGTTCACTAGCGTATCGTCCACGGGCGTCGCTAGACCATTTTGAAAAAGGGGGGGGGGGTGGTGTCATGAAATTTGCCGACGGACCTTCACACAAAATAATTGATAATTTCCGCCCAAAAGACCCCTTAATTAAATCCATTTCTAATTCCCCCACATCATGTACTATAATGGTTTATTATGTTGATTACTCTGAATGGAATTAATTTTCAGTTATGTTTATAGAGTTCCTCTGACATCAATCCCACTAAGGCCAAAAAAAAGTCTCCGGTTTCTGGTATGCGCGCGCGTCGCCGTAGCCATGCGCGTCGGCAAAATGAAAAAAAAAATTCAATGAAAGATGATGTCTCAAAACCGCCAAACTCACTGGTTTGACAGGAATCCTGCTGCTGCACAATTTTAACGTGTTTTTAGATGGGGTTATGATCGAGAATAAGCTTTATGTGGCCTCTCTGGTCTCCCATAATATCGCCGCACCACTTTTTGGGCAAGCTCCATACCAGAAACCGGAGACTTTTTTTGGCTTAAAGAAAACCCATTCAACAACCATTAAAATGAGCCGTGAAAATCTTCATTTGATATGTAGTATGCATAATAATGGTCAGTTTTGAAGAATGCCCCCATTTGGAAGATGGAAACCAGACCCCCCCCCCCCCCCCCCCCCCGCTTTTTGATTTTACGGAGGGCAAGTGTCCGAAGAAAAAAAACATGTCTACATTTCGGCGCTGATGTGCAGTTGCCCCCCGCCCCCCCCCCCCCCCCCCGACATCAAAAGCTGGATACGCTGCTGGCGTGTACACGCCCACGTAGGCATGCCTTGTGCAGGCCCGATCCCTGATCCCAGCCGGGGGGGGTTCTTTAAAGCTATAGTCCATCATTTGCAGCTATCCAAAAAGTGACTGACTTAATTATTGTTGAAAAAACATACTTGGTTGAAAGATAGCAAGGGGACTAAACTCCCTGTGAAATTATTCTTTCTGCCAAGCTGTCATTTTGAAGAAATCAACGAAGGAATGCCCTTCCAACGGTGCGTTTTAAGAAGCACCGTTAGAAATGTCCGTAGTAGTTCGTTTTTTTAATCAGCGAAGCGCGCGCAAGCGTTGACACGATGCACACGCGCACGCGGTTGCTATCCGGTTCGTTAGTGTGACGTCACCTCCAGCACTTTCTGCACCGTTTGGAACCGGAAGTTAACGCAGCTCGAGCGTTTGCAGCCAATGGGCGCTAGTAATCAGTGGTGCGTGCGCGTGTATGACGTTTTTACTAACGAGCCGGATAATTCGTCGGATCAGTGCGCGACTTCGCGTAGCTGCAATCGGCTCAGTGAAAACGTGTCTCGCTGGACGCTGAATTCAGGCCCATTCAAAACATGATTCAGCAACTTTTGATTTGAAATCGAGATCCTAGAATGCTGTTTTTCTCGAAATATACAGCTGAGCTGAAACTTCATCACCCTTCTTTAGATTTTGAGCACTTTTGTTGCTTCAAACGAACAAAATGCACAAATTACAAATGATGGAATATACCTTAAATCCTAAAGTGAATTTCTGTTATATGCGAGCGGGGAGCGCGAAGCCCTGAAGGCGTGGGGTCCGGGGCCCACCTAAAAGTTCTGGATTTTGTGCTCTGTGGTGCAATCTGAAACATTTCCTAGCCACTTTCCCCTGACTTTTTTATGTGTACGTAGGGTCCGGGGCCAGCCTAAAAGGTCTGGATTTTATGCTCTGTGGTGCAATCTGAAGCATTTCCTGGCCACTTTCCCCTGACTTTTTTAATGCACTGACTCGTGTTTAGGGAGATGGGGGGGGGGGGGGTCATCAAAGTTGATGTATTACATCACAAACATTACATCAAACTGAAGCTCGACACTCTTTCGAGTTTTGCCTTCTTTAGCTTTAGCTTGATCCATGGTTTTGAGTTGTCACTTAGCCGTAGCATTCAACCGCCATATATGAAGCGACCTCTCGCGGCAGCTCGTGCCGACATGACAGACTTGACACAATGTACAATTTTTGTTTGCCAATGAATTCAGAACCGGATGTTAGCTTCGCAGGGTTTTGAGCAACGGTGTCTATTATTTACATTTCTTCTTCTCTCTTTCTTTTCCTTCTTTCTCTATTCTTCACTTTTTTTTGCCGACACCACCATGATTTTACCGACAAAAATGTCTAATGGGGGTTTGAACCCCCCCCCCCCCCCCTGCAGCGACGCCCATGGTATCGTCGGCTCTTCGGGGCCGCATTGCTGGTTACACGTACGATAGCTACAAGCATCACAATGCGCAGCAGGGACCCGTGACCCATATAATTTCCTGATGACATTTTGCCGATATTGTCCGAACATTGACGTCCGCACATTACTTGTAGTGCACAGTCGTAATGGATTAGGTTACTACGAATCAACCACAAATCGAGCAGTAAATCGTGCAACTGAAGGGACATTGCGAATGCGCACAATTGGGCTACAAAACGCATTTTAATGAAATTATATTAAATGGAAAGCCAATGCCAATGTCCCTATAAGGTAACGAGTTGTGGAGGGGCATTCCATATATAAGTCAGAGGGGTGTTTCGTAAAACATGATGTAAAATTGTTGAACAAAATGGTTAGCAACGTCTAGTTTTTGACATTTTTTTTATTTTTGGACCGAAAGGTATTTGTGAATGGGAATAAATGTGTGTTCGGTCGGTATTAAACACTCTGTATAAGACCGGTTTGAGTCTGGATGGGCGATAATTACCCTCGGCTTTGCCTCGGGTAATTATCACCCATCCAGACTCAAACCGGTCTTAAACAGAGTGTTATAATACCTCCCAAAACACACATTTATTCCCTTATTTACAACTGGTTGGTTTTGTGTGATTCTTGCGTGAACCATGCAACAACTAATGTTGGGTGTCAAAATTGTGAGTCTCAAAAATCGAGCTGTTGAGGGCTAGTTGTGAATCCGGCCTGGCACAGTGTATTGCATGATGCGGACGTGCAAGAAACAACATTATGTGTTGGTGTTGTGTGTATTATGTGACGCACACACGACGTGTACTGTACATTGAATGGAAACGGCGGGAAATACGTATATGTATGCCACGAAAGTCCACCGCGTGCGATGTAAACCACTGTTCATCCGTCTTTTCTCAGGAACGGTAAGACATTAGGTTAGTCTCCTTTTCAGACATTTGAAAGAGTATAAAGAAACAACCCTAACAACATAATAATTTCGTGAATTTCAGGCCGAATAATACCCCTTAGTTAAAAGGGCCAGTACCCGATTTAACTAAACGATGCGACGCATCGTCGCAACTCGCGATGCGTCGTATCATCCATTAAGCGAAACTTGCGATGTGTTGAATGCGTTGTATTCAAGTGGTCATCGCCAAATAAGAAGAGTCCTTTTCTTAGCCAGTTTTATGCCTTAATCATTACAAAAACGAGATTATAATACCGAGGCAGTGTGTGTAAAGTTGTAAATAGAAAATTCATTGAATAATTATGAAATAACCTGGAATATTGAAGTTTCAATTTCAAAGTAGCTAAACAGTTCACTGAGAGCTTGTTTTCCTTTAAAATTGCATCACACGGCCGCCATTTTATTTGACGTTTTAACAAATTTTGGGCGGAGATCCGACGACTGATTGTTGAATATCAGATGACTATATACTGTACGCTGACTAAAGACATAAAACAGTCATCAAGTTGTGCTATAAATACACCTACGACGCGTCGAACTTACGACGTGCTTTGTGAAATGGATCGCAGGGCGAGTCACAGCTGCAACGCATCGTAGAGATACGACGCGTCGCAGCGCTGTGAGTTACGAAGAGTTTGATGAAATCGGGTGCAGGTTTATATTTTGGCCATCTCTCAGCCGGGGGGGGGGGGCTAAGATGTCGGCCATCGAGTGACGAAAAACTTTGAAACTCAGTACATGCAAAGAACAACTTACCATGGACATACCCAAGAAATTTCATGACTAAAGGTCAAAGGATTTTGGAATTATGGCAAATTAATTATTCATGCACGAATGCTTTGTGTACACTGCGTTCATGGAGAAATTCAGTTTGCGTCGGAATTTTTTTAAATGTTTTTGGAACATCTCGGGTCGCAATTTTTTTTCTTCAAGGCTATCGCGGAAAAGTTGAGAGGGGGGGGTGCGGATTCCGCCCGGCGCTTTTAGGGTTAAACAACTGTCTTTCCTTTTAAATGACTGTACGAAGTATAACGTGGTTAGTCTCAAATACAAATGCGTACCTTGAATATTCAGTCTGGCCCTGGGTGGGGCGTGGCTAGCGCGGTTTTGATAAAAAGACGAAGCTGTGATGCGTTCATCCGGTATGCGACCATCTTCCATCCCGAGAGGTCCCTCCACAGAGCAAGAAACGTCACCTGAGGAAAAATGTGCGATTGTTTCGAGAACAGGTTTGTGCCAAATCCCATTTTAATAAAAAAAAGAAGAAGAAGGAAATAGTAATGGGTCTTTTTCCGCAACCCAGAGTCTCTAGCAACAAAAGGATCTTATGATGCTAAGATGAGTGCTTGCAACGTCTATTAACATATGAAAGGGCGCCCTCTATCTTGTCCGCCCTTACTGGGACGCATAATTATGAGTCCCCCCATTTCCGTGTCGCCGCCGCGCTATTATCGATCGGTACTACTGATGGCGGGTGCATCCATGATCGCAGAATAAAATTGAATGAAGTAGCACACGATCAACACCAAAATTATGTATTTTAGTCCATACTATTTTCTTTAGTTTGATCTCTCATATCATATTTGTGGTGTGATTATTTTACTTCAAGAAGTTATTTCGATAATTATAAAATAAAGAAAAACATCCTGGACATGTCAAAAATACTATTTTATGCACGAAATTTGGACAGTCAAGACAAACGTCAGAGAAAACGGTAACGTCGGACCACACACTACAGCGATATCGACATCGTGCATGAGCTGCCACGCTGGTCATTAGTCTGCTTGCGCTAATTAAAAAAGCGTTTACATGTTCCAGATACATGACCATCAACAACGTCTGCATATAGTGCCCAACTAAATTTAGTACAAAATGTAAGGGAGCCCAGAGAGGCCACATAAAGCTTATACTTGATTGTAACCTCATGCCTGCCTCGTCTCCTTCCTAAATGTCAATTGCGTTTGCATGAGTCGAGATGATAATTGTTCTAAATTTGCATGTTACAACTCGCGACACAAAGGTCAGGTCATCCACACCAGATGCGAGATGTGAGATGGCAGATGGGGAACACCTTAGTAGCGCAAATTTCACTTTAATATTGCGCCTAGGCTCGTTTGAACGAGAGACAAATAAGTCATTTATAAGACAAATATGTCGTTAAAGCCAGATAAAAAAAGTCGTTTAAACCAGATAAAATCCGTCGTTTAAACGATATAAACAAGTCGTTTAAACGAGATAATTTATCGTTTAAACAAGATAATAAGTCGTTCAACCGAGATAATAAGCAGTTAATTAAGATAATAAAACGAGATATTATGTCGTTTTTTGCTTGTTTGTTTGTTTGGCAGCAATACCGCTACGTTCTACAAAAACGCAGAGCCAGGCCATGTTTTTTTTTGTTTTTTTTTAATTTACTCGCTAGCGGTTTTGGCGCAAAATTCGGCGCTGCAATGACATGAGACAAGCCAAATGCGCGTCAGTATCAGATTTGTTTTCTGAAACCGGCATTTTTTAAAGGGATATTACGTTCTCGAATGCGCCAAGTTGGGCAACAAAATTGGAAAGAGCATTTAAAAAAAGGATATAAATATCGACACCATAACCATTCTTTAAAAGTCAAAATTATGTGCCACACTCGCGCAACGTGTACCGTACATTGAATGGACACGGCTGAAATGTCCGCCGCGTCCGATCCACGCGATGTAAACGACCGTCCCCCTTCTTTCTTTAGAACTGTAAGACATTAGAATAGTTTCCTTTCAACCAGACCTTTGAAATAGGATAAGTATTAATCAATCCAAAACATGACATTTTCGGGGATTCTAGGCCGCAATTCCCATTAGAAACGCTAAAAACCGCGAATTCACGAGAAAGTTGCATGCCCTATTTCAATGATTTTGACTCGCCAGGGGGACTTTAATAGTTCTGATTGATTGATTAATTGATTTGGTTGATTACCATTTATTATTATTATTATTATTATTTATTTGGCCAACAAATGAACAAAAGTACAATGACAAAGCAAATAAAAAGTAAAAAGTAAACAAAGATTGGAAATTGAAAAGTAATACCATACAGACTGAAGAATGCGAGTAGGAATGGGTCGGGGGAGGGGGGAAGGAAGGGAGGGTGGACAGTTTGACAGGGGAGAGGAGATAGAGGGACAGAAAACAAAAACAATACAACATTCCAAACCGGCCAGGGTAAACAAAAGTGTACTAAAACACTGTAGCCTTAAGGCCTGCCAACACATGTTCGAAATGTCTACACAAAAATTAAATAGTATTCAATGTAAATATAAATATATAAATGAAAAACAAACAAACAAACAAACACCCCAACAAAACAAAACAAAACAAACTAAATCAAAACAAAACATAAACAAAAAAAAGCACACACACACACAAAGAAAACAAAACATACCAAAACAAAACAAATAAAAACACAAATTTAGTTAGAACAAAATGGCTCACGAGTAACAGAGCATGTCTACTAACAATAAACAAAAACTAACAAAGACAACTATTCAAACTGACCAACAAATAAACTGGAAATGAGCAAACAAACAATACCCCCAATAAAAAAAAACATAAACCCAGCAAGCAAACTAGTACCCCATCAGACCGACACCCCATAACCCCACAAAAAAACCTACAAGCAAACAAAATACAAACAAACACACATTCCCACAACCCAACAAACGAACACCCAGACAACCCGACAAACAGACCCCCCCAAAAAAAAAACACAAAACAAAACAAAACAAAACAAAACAAAAAAAACAAAAAAAACAAAAAAAAAAACACAACAAAATGAAATAAAAATAAAACCAACCAAACCAAAAAACAAACAAACAAACACCCCCAACAAAACAAAACAAAACAATACAAAAAAAAACAAATAAACAAAAAAACAATACAAAACAAACTAACAAACAAACATCCCAACAGTCCTAACAAACATATCAGGTAGGCAGTGTCGTGGTTTTTGTGCTCAAAATACATTCAACTTTATATTACAAACATTAAACTATACCACATAATTTAAGTTAATTCCCCTTGAAATATCTCCCTAAAAAGTAAAAGTCATTAACAAGACAAAAGAATTATATATTACACTGTAATGTAACAAGTGCTTTGACTAGCCCGCCGCTGCATTTACTCGCATTTGGCTAGCGGGCTACCACTAAGCTCGAACCATTAATATGCCTACATGACAATCTCCCCTCCCCCCCCCCCGGAGATTCGTCTGTCGACGCAGCTGTGCCCTCCAAATCCTGACTAGAATTCGCCACCATTGGTGCGTATCCGATGGGTTACCCCAAGGGAGTACCAAAACTCTGTGATGAAAAAAACATACGTTCATGGAGTAATTTGATTTAATTTATTTATTTTTATCGATGCCTACTTGACATTTGGGTGAGAAGACGAGGCAGAAAGCTAGCAATATTAATGGTTTTGCCTCTTTTGTTTATTTTCCCGGAGTGGCTGCATCATAAATGAAAGACGAGGCTTACTTTATGATCAAATTGATGAGAGGAAAAATATTACCAGAAAGGCCTTGGCAATGTTACATTTTAAGATACTATAGGTTTTCCCGGCAATTTAAAAACATTTTCATTCAAATTCACCAACTCTAACATTCAATTTCGTTCGAGAAAAATGTCAAATGCATTAAGAAAACCACACATATTAGTCATTTACCATTCAATTTCAAAGTTTGGTCACCCTCTTTAGTCACCGGGTCGAGAATATTCGACATTACAGATTAAATTCGTCTAAGCTGTTTCCGAATGGTAGCATTCAGAGATAGAATTCGTCTTATATAGATCAATTAGACGAATTTGAAAGGTTTGGCGTAGACGAGACGAGATAGAATACTCCCGGACGAAAACGTGTAGTACTAGCAGAATTATTTTAATGCGCAGAATAAGTTGTTCATTGTTTGAATTTGCTTGTATGAACTGAATTTGAAATTGTCTGACAAAAGACAAAATTAAACATTGGAAGTGCACTAAATGGATGTTGATGGACGAATTTGAATATTAGAAACAGTGAATTCGAATGAAGAACGTTTTGAAATAGCCGGGAAAACCTATCATAAAAATAGTGACAACCGTGGCCCAATTTTTTAATTTTAATTTGAATCGACAGTGATATTTGTCTTATTATAGGTTTTCCCGGCCAATTTCACCAAGTTTTTATTCATTTTTACGCTAGCTTTTTCGATTTAGATTTACATTGAAAGATCACGCAGATCGGCATTTCACAATTAAAAAGAATCATTCAATTTTACTATCGTCCCCATCAAAGATGCGTTCATATTAAAAGTATCGCGTTGTTCATTCAATTTCGTCTAAACCAGCATTAAGGGGTTGATCGGGCATTCGTTTTCATTAATGGGCAAGCATATTTCACATTTTGTCAAACATAAATAATGAAAGGTTGCGGAAACACCATGTGCGAATAATTTCTCAACTAAGAGAAGTGTTCTGAAAATGTGCTCGATGTGCAAAACTCACGCGAAATTTAATGGCTGATAATGAAACTGATTAAAACAATTCGGTTAATTCATTTTAGATTAAAAATGAAGAGATCACGCATACCGTCATTCGACCATCAAAAAGAAAAAGTTTATTTTCACTATCCTAGCATTATGAAAGTATCGTCTTGTTCATTGAATTTCGTCTAAACCAACAGTAAGGGTTGATCGGACTTTTATTTTCATTAATGAGCAAACATAATATTTAACATTTTGTCAAGCATATCTTAACTTCCTGCCTGTCTGTATTCCTATAAAATTCTTAGTAATCTCAGCGTAAATCATATTGTAGTTTTTACTAAAACGATACTTTTTGAATCTGAGTGAAAGACATTATCAGTGTGTGCAAGATATGCATCTTTCAGACATTTCATAAACTGAATATTTGAATATTTGGTCAAGTGCAACTTGGAAAAAATTATTGCAACACTTTAATCATACATGTACAACACCAAAGATAAATAAAACAAAAGAAAAAATCTTTTGTAAATAGCCCTAGTGGCGGATGGAGGTGGCAGTGTGCATTTCAGTAATTATTTATCGTATAGAATTTAATGTTTTCTTCCTTTGTAAGTAGCCCAAAATGACGGATGGAGGTGGCAGTGCACATTTTGATGATTTTAGTTTGTGTTGGTAAATAGCCCTAATGGCGGAT